CTTGACGTATGTTAGGACTTCTTATGCCGGGGTGCGTAGCTCTAATCAACGCCGGATTAACTATCGTGGGGCAAGGAACATGTGGGGGGCCCTGATCACTGACCGCGGAGCTGGGCCGACAAAGCAGGCCACTGCGAGCGCCGAAGGCGCGAAGTCCCGCATGGGAGGTCTTGGGGGGGGGGGGGTCTCCCCCCATTAAATTTTCAGAAATTGGAGGCCGGAAACGTGATTTCCTGGCATTTCAGGCACTTGTGTCGGAGTCATTTAGAAGTACCTCCCCCAGAAAAAAATAAAATTCTGCCACAAAATTAGCGCATTCTGGCGTTATTTCAGTGGATCAATCCATGCGAGTGCTATGAAATGATCCATTATTTACAGTTCGAGTTAGGCGATGTAAATAATAAAACTTCGGTAAGGATTGTACCGGAAATTTGGTTCGAGCTATGCGATAATTCGAGTTACAGTTTCCGAGCTATTCAATGTTTTATAAAAGGAAAAGAAAGAAAATATTCGTTCAACGAATTATACGGGGTCAAGTTACGCGGAGTTAGAGCTGAATGATAATGATCAATGGATGAATACTCTTCTTTTTTTGCCCCTGGCGAATTTTGCAATGGTTTCATCGAAATTGATGGTGCGCAGGATATCGCTTTCAGAGGCCAGCCGAACCAAATACACTAGCCTATCCTGACCCATTTACCCCCCCGTACACGGGTCCTGTGTAACGACTGCACAAGGACCATATGTCGAGACAGTCCCTGTGTAGCGCGCTACACATGGACTAAGTGTTCAGACGGAAAATTATTCTATTTGTAGCGCTCGACTAGGCTCGACACTGGCAATCAGTGCTGACATGTACTCAACACAGGCTGCTCGACACAAGGAACCTGTGTTGTGACATCTGAGCACAGGCTCCTTGTGCTACGGTTACACATGGGTTCTGGCTGTGTACATATAATTTGAAGACACTATTGAAACAAAATGAGAGCAGAAATTCAACCACGTACAAGGCAGTACTCTCATTAGAATTTGACAATTCGCCTGTAAATAGCGTTGAATTCCGGCGATCCACTCAGAGAACATCTCGGAGCATCGGAGGGGGCCCCGTCACTAGGTCACCGGCCGTTGGAGTCCTCGGTCCGACCATGCTCGAGGCGCGCAAGTGAGTTTTTAGAGGGCCCTAGGGCATGGGCCCTATTGTGCCCCGTGGTTAATCCGGCGTTGGCTCTAATACGTCGAAATACGCGGCTCTCACAATCTATATATATATTTGTGACTGTCGTTTGTCTCTCTGTCTGTTTGTCTGTCTGTTCGGGGTTGGCGGCTACACTAGGTCTGCCCCGAGTCTGAAATTTGGGGTATAGGGTAACTCGGACCGGGGAGTAACATAGACCAGGTGGCGTTAGTCTACCACTTCCGGTTTTGGAGTTATGACCCCCCGAGCGAAGCCGTGTATCCTGCTAGTATTTATTATTCAAGGATCTTTAATCTATAAGAAACATAAGTACTAATTATTTGACGTCGAACTGGGTTTATTAACGAATGAACATCATAACACAAATAAAGATATATTGAAATTATAATTAAAACATCAATTACAAATTATCTATTAGTGAATAATTGAATATATAATTTTAACATATATTATGTGACCAAGTGTAATTGTAAGCTATTTCACATTATCATGTTATGCATAAAAGAAACATACATTAATCAATAGACGATTATAAAGTATTATCATACTGTGTGAACAAGTGTAGTAAACTATTACGCATCATAATTTTATACATAAAATAAACATATAAAATAACACGATTATAAACTAACTCACCTATAAGAAACATATATAAGTACTAATTATTTGACGTCGAACATAATTGTCCGTATCTCGTCTCTTATATTTATACCCAGTCGCTATCGCCAACTTAATATCTTAATAATAATTAAACTAGAAATATTTGAACATATACATGATAAGAGTTAAACATATAATACAATGCTACAGGGCAGTAAATTGTGTACATTTTGCTTGTGACACAATGTATGGCTAAAATATCTATGTATTGAATGAATTCGTGTGTGTGGTAGTAACCTATATACCCAGTATAACCCATTACTGGTGGTGTGCATCCAGTCAATACATTCACTTTCTCTACTAGTGTCAAATGAAATGGGCTAATGAGGGAAATTCTGCCCGGACAGCGGCACTACGGCCTACTCTTATATCGAATTCCAACTGTCAAGGGATCTTTTACGTGCACGTCAAAGTGTACACGAGACCGTTTTTCGTCCTATCCGAACGACTAGACAGCTGTCCTTGTCAGGCCCTCCGTCCTGCATTACTGACAAGGGGGAACCACGCCGGAAAATGTTGATGAACTTTCTCGGCCAATGCAGTGATCGAACACCCGACCTCCAGGCTATCGAGCCAGCGTCTTACCCACTTAGCCATCTTGACCCGCTCTCTACTAGTGTTTGTGGAACAGTAAATTATTACATGTATATTGTGCTTGTGGCAAAATGTGTGCCTACAATCGGTGATAAACATTTACCAATCAAATTACACTGTGATGATTGTACAATGTACACTGTGATTATTTATATACAGTTGAAGAACGCATGTAGAAGTCTCCTATTGCTCATTCATGTGGGTTATGTATGGTGGCTGATTGGTATCATGTCGTAATGTCGTGATGTCGCCTTTCATAACGCGACAACCCGACAACCCGACATTTCTACCCGACATTACGACAACCCGACACCACGACATTTTTACCCGACATTTTTACACTAAAAATGTCGTAATGTCGGGTAAAAATGTCGGGTTGTCGGGTTGTCGTGATGTCGGGTTGTCGCGTTATATCTTGACCATGTTGTACATCTCTATATTAGTTTAAATAACAACTTAAAACTCATTTATTTAATCAGGCTTTTAACTGACTCTGTATACAATCGTTAACATGTTCATAATCTTGTTGTTTATTTATGATTTTCCTAAGGCTAAGCAGAGATAAGCAATTTGATTGGTCGATGTTTTGGGACACAATAACCTTGATTCTAGCTAATTCTGAGTTTGATCATGAGAGAGAGAGAGAGAGAGAGAGAGGTTTAACGTCCACTCGACACAAACTAGGTCATTTCGGGACTAACATATGGTTCAATTTTATTTCAATAATTCGCTCGCGCGTAGGGGTCTTCAGCAGTCGGAGGAAACCGGGGGACCCGGGGAAAACCCACGAGGTTAGACAGACGACCCTACTCTTTGTCATGTACAAGCTTGGGCTGGAAACCACACCACTTGACTCAATGACAGACACACAGACAAGGGCGGCTTCATAATATGTTCACATTATGAAATGAAATGGGGTTTAACGTCCTACTGTTCTGTTCCGACTGAGCTAATGAAGACGGTTCACATTATGAATGTGAACGTATACAAATGGATACGAATGCAACTCAAACTGCACTGTGAGTGTCATAGGCGTACGTGGCCGAACTTGTTTGGGGGGCCAGCATATTTTCCCGACGAATATATTTCTTTAGAGTCTGTGGGCGGCGAAGCCGTCCGCCCGCGAGCGCCGGAGGCGCTAAGCGTCCGACGGGGGGTCTGGGGGCCCCCCCATAAAATTTTGAAAACCAGACGGCTAGACGCGTTTTCAAGGCATTTGGAGTGGGTAGTAAATTATGTCAGTTGCAGCATAAAAACTGGAAAAAGTCATCTTTAAAATACAAGCTCTATTACTACGAAAACAAAGAACAAGTCGAACGATTTACTTTTGCCACATTTTTCATTTTATGAGACTTCACATTTTTTTATCAGGGAAGGCATAAACAGAGAGTTTATACTGATTTTCAGATCACTTCTATCACTGGGCTCGTCCGGTGCATGGAGTTGGATGCCAGTATACAGGAACACAGTCAAGAACTGAGAAAGGCCATGTGTACGTGATAGTTCTATTCAGATGGTGTACGTGTTCATCATTGACTGGGCTGCTTTCTTTCCGCTTCCATATTATTAAAAATATTCAAAACCCAACAGACGGCGCGACGCTTCCCGACAAACTGAGCATTCATTCCCGACAAGACCATAGCCTTCCCCGACAAGGCCATACAACCCGACATCACGACAACCCGACAACCCGACACCACGACATTTTTACCCGACATCACGACATTTTTACCCGACATCACGACATTTTTAGTGTCGTAATGTCGGGTAAAAATGTCGTGATGTCGGGTAGAAATGTCGTGATGTCGGGTTGTCGTTTTGTCGGGTAGAAATGTCGTGATGTCGGGTTGTCGGGTTATGAAAGGCGACATCACGACATTACGACATGATACCAATCAGCCACCATAGTTATGTCTACCAGTAACTGCAAGAATTTCATTGAAAATGCATTCTACCTCATTTAACACCAACAAACAGAATCGACCTTGGGTATGAAACAAGGATGTGTCCTTAGTTCCCGCCTACAAATACGTCAGAATTTCTGCTCTGCAAGCTATGGGTAGCTCCTCCCCTTTTTGGTATTTGTCTACACTTTGTTAAAGCTGAACTCCGGTTACAAAAATACCTATATAGCCTAAGCTTTACTCACCTGCACAAATCACCTGCACAAACACAAACTATTGTCTTCTTCATGGTTGAAAATTTCAGGTTGGGGTAAGCCATCTTTTTGCATCTTTTGTTTTAGAGTAAAGCTTTTTGGCTATATAGTAGTAGACGCAGTTCATATAATTATTTACAGGCTTACCTGATTAGACATTTTGCAATCTTCAATAATTTAGTATATATGCTGTTGGGAAACAATAGAGCAATCAGTGAAGCGTGGTGTAGAGAATAAGGCCGTGTACAGCTGGCTGACAAGAAACAAACTGGAAGTGAGATCGGCTAACCTTTCCAGGTCATAAGCCTTCATGTCCGCCATATTTATTTCACAAATTGGAAACAAGTATGGCGGCTTGGGGCGTTAACTTTTTTTTTTATTTAAATATTTCGGTATTTTTGTAACCGGAGTTCAGCTTTAATGTTTAATCGTTTTAAAACCATTACAAAAATAAAAACCGACAAAATAAACCACTGAAGATTATTAATATCCGAAGCAACATGAAGTCTATTAGAAAATGTTGTTATATTCCAATAGTGTGCGTATTTATTTACTTAGTGATTTTTCTCGTGTGGTCTTATAGAGGATACCTTCGACCGGATTTATATTTAAACCATTCTAGATATTCCAGCAAGGATGCAGAATGCCCGGGAGTTCTATCACACATGGTAAAAGGTTACTGGAAACCACTCCCGCGTCTCTCGCAGGAATTGATAGGGATATTAACTGACAGATTTAGAACAAATGTCGCAAGATCTCATCATATTCCTAAAGGTTACCAAATGAAAAATGGTAAATGTGGTAATATTCAATATCCAGACTCTGGGTTTAGGGCATTATGTGATCCTAAAGGACCTACGCCATGTTGTTATGAGGGTCAGTGTGTGTCTAAATCTATTGAAGATTGTAAATGTGAGGAATGTTATGATCTAAGGCAACGTGTTTCAGCCGAATCTTCTACCTGGGTGCCATCACATCACGGTTGTCAAGTTGATGACTTTGATTCTACCACAGCATGCCGTTTACTCCATAATTCTACCATATTCTGGACTGGAAACTCTTTCACCAGGCAGATGTTTGCGGCTTTAACTATGATACTAAAGGGCGATTTGAGACATTTGGTTGTTAAAAATAACACAGGTAAGGTTTTTTTTCAAAGTAGTGCCCCATGTCCGTCCAACCTACGAGAAGCAAAGACCATTACCCTTTGCACTTGCACCACAATAAACTGGGTTAGATCTAAATATTAAGGCGCTAACCCTAAATCTGCAGGTGACCTTAATGTTTAGATCTGACAGTATAAGCTGGTATTCTTCCAACAATCCCCATTACCCCGATGGTGGACGTGCTGTACTCTTGCCACTCTCATCACAATGTGCTTGTATCCGTTCCCACATTACCACCGGCTGATTGTGAGTGTACTGTTCATTAACAAATCTGCTGGTGAACATACTGAACACTTGTTTATTTTAAATACGCCCGAATTTCCATATTTAAAAAAGATTGGGTTTAACTTCTCTTACCACTAACAAGATTATCCTGGGACTAATACAATATATTTATATTTCATGAATTCGAGGCCCAGTGATTTCTTAATCCGCCTATGGCATTAATCGGCATAGCAACCGTAACATCAAAGGTGTATATAAAAGAAATGGGGGAGGGGGGTTACTGTATATAAATAACTAGCAGGATACCCGGCTTCGCTCGGGGGTCATAACTCCGAAACCGGAAGTGGTAGACTAACGCCACCTGGCCTATGTTACTCCGCAGTCCGAGCTACCCCTATACCCCAAATTTCAGACTCGGGGCAGACCTAGTGTAGCCGCCAACCCCGAACAGACCGGCTTCGGTCGGGGGTCATAACTCCGAAACCGGAAGTGGTAGACTAACGCCACCTGGCCTATGTTACTCCCCGGTCCGAGCTACCCCTATACCCCAAATTTCAGACTCGGGGCAGACCTAATGTAGCCGCCAAACCCGCACAGACAGACAGACAGACAAACGACAGTCACAAATATATATATATAGACGACAGTGTACATTGTACAACCATCACAGTGTAATTTGATTGGTAAATGTTTATCACCGATTGTAGGCACACATTTTGCCACAAGCACAATATACATGTAATAATTTACTGTTCCACAAACACTAGTACTTCCCATTTCTCCCCTTCACTGAGGTCAGGAGCCACGGTGGCTAGGTGGTTAAGACGCTGGCTCGATAGCCTGGAGGTCGGGTGTTCGATCCATGCATTGGCCGAGAAAGTTCATCCTTGTCAGTTCCCCCTTGTCAGTGATGCAGGACGGAGAGCCTGACCAAAGCCCTGTATAGGGAAAGTTACGACAACTCATTTACAGGCGCCATTTTGGGTCCCAACCACTGATCTATATATATATATATATATATATATATATATACATATAACTGGACAAAGCCGTATATAGATAAAGTTGCGACAACTGTGAAGCCAGAAATTTCATATGACGTCATGAAAATATGACGTCAAGTGTACAAAGACGCCATCTTGGGTCCCAAGTATTTGTACCTACTCACTTTCTATTTTATGTCCTATCATACTGTTGTGTTTATGTTGGCTGCCAATGACAGGGATGTAGATGGATATCTCATAGAATTCCGCGAAAAAGAGATAAAATATACATTTTTTAAACGAAAAGTATAGCTGAACAAACTGTTATTATTATTATTATTACTATTATTATACAACAAAAAGCGCACATTATTGTTATAATAATATAGTCCAATTCATAAGAAAATGAAATGAAAGATACACCAGATAAAAGCGCTATTAAATATATTTAACTTGCATACGCTTTTAAAAATCAGATTTTTTGTGCAGACGGGTAAAGTGAAAAATTAAAATTTAAATTATATAGTAATTTGGAAGATAAAACATTTTTGCCTTCTAGCCGGCAAAATAAATGCCTGAAATTCCATTATTTTTTGGTCTGGAGCCATTCCGGATTGGGTCATCAATCATTAATTGTATCATCAATTTTTCGAAAATAGAAATTTCTTTAAATTGACTAGATAAAACATTGTAACAAGGGACTCGAAAAACGAGGTTATACATATTCCACAAGTCTTGTCAAACAGTGACGCCATATTCTTATCTGAAGAGCATGTGTTTCGGGCATATGTTTCATCAGTGACATGTGAGACGAGATATCGCTCTACGACACTTCCTGGTGTCTTTTGCAATTTGTTTGGGTTAAGATGTTATCTCGCCCAGCCCATGAGTAAATAATAATAATCTAAAGCCCCGTTTACATGACCAAATAATACACATATGTGCATATTTGCATACATGTATTAATTACTCACGTATGCAAAAGTACTATTCAAAAAAAGTAGGGGATATTTGATTTTGGGGGCATAATACTAAAATATGCAAATGACTACGAAAAAAGTCACTATAGAACCTAACAGAAGAAACATTTCCAGTTACATGTGACGCCCAAACGCACCAATAGCTACCGCATGGAATGCAGGTGATGCTTGGGATCATCATGGGGGTCCAACCCAAGATTTGCACGACTCTGACTTTGAATGTTACAGTCATTGTGGCATTGAATTCCAGGGTGGAAACATCAGTTTAATTGTTTTAGTGACCAGAAAACAAATTTTGATATGCGTCGGCTTACCCAAAATGAAAGGTTACGTGCCCTTGGCATTCTACAGATCGGCACAACACAGGCGGTTGTGGCGCGGACGATGAATGTTTCTCAGTCTGTCATAAGCAGGCTATGGTCCAGATACCGTGATACACAATCTGTACAGGACAGACCACGCTCAGGTCGACCAAGGGCGACAACTCAAGCCCAGGATCGATTTATCCGTACCTTGGCCTTGAGAAATCGTGTCATCACAGCAAATCAGATCAGCGCTCGTCTTCAAACAGACACTGGTGTGAGAGTGAGTGGCCAGACGATTCGGAATCGACTGCATAGGGGTCACCTTCGCGCCCGACGTCCTCGCGTGATCCCTTGTTTGAGAGATCATCACATTCAGGCAAGACGTCGTTGGTGTAGGGATCGTCAACACTGGGATAATCGACGCTGGAGCAATGTGATTTTTTCAGATGAGTCAAGGTTCACTGTTGATTTTTTGGACAGACGTAGGAGGGTGTGGCGTCGTCGAAACGAGCGCTTCCAAGACGTTAACGTCATCAGACATGATCGATTTGGGGGTGGTTCTGTTATGGTGTGGGGAGGCATCACTGTTGCTGGAAGAACGGCTTTACATGTTGTTGCAGGGCGTGTTACAGGCCAGTACTACCGGGACAACATCTTGGCAGTCCATGTTGTGCCGTTCGCACGACGTCATGGCCGCCGTTTCATCTTCCAGGATGACAACGCAAGATGTCACAGGGCCAGGATCGTTACAGGTTACCTCCAACAACAGAACATCACCACATTACCTTGGCCAGCACAGAGTCCCGACCTCTCCCCCATCGAGCATGTCTGGGACATGCTTGGACAGAGGTTACGTCAACGTCAACAACGTCCTGCCAATGTCCAAGAACTTGCTGCTGCGTTGCAACAGGAATGGGACAATCTGGACCAAAATGACCTAAGACGTCTCATTAGGAGTATGCCACGTCGGATCAATGCTTGTTTGGCAAACAGAGGAGGATTTACCCGTTACTGACTTGGTTGTGATGCTGTGGTAACTTTGCTGTTTGACCCCGGGTATCATTTTACCCTTATAATGGTCAGTCTGTGCCTTACTTAGTCTAACGATCATTTGGAATAAATCGATGAATGTGAACTTCATTTCATTTTGTCATTTGTTTCTTCGTCAGTTTCATTAGGTGACTTTAATAACACTTAAAAATCAAATATCCCCTACTTTTTTTGAATAGTATATATTTGCTAAGCGTTCACATGTTATATAAGCATTCACAGTAAATGTGTAATAAAGTGTTTAGATGCCATTTAGTCATGGAGCGGATAGCAAGGATTCGTCGTCAAAGAACCTTTCAATTCTTTTAAGTGTATGAATTTTTACCTTGCATTGATCAGAGGTTTTCTCAAAGCCTTTCTCAGACAGTTCTGTTGATAAACGTTTATAAATGCTCCCATTATTTACAGTTGGGTCCTCTAACTGATGCTCAATACTATTTTCAAGCCAAATACTTATCAAAGCCCTAGTTGCTTCATCATCCCATGCGATTCCGCGACTTTTGCGACCGACTTTACCTCTAGACATGTTGCTGACTATTCAGACTACTAATAATGTATTTGTAACAAATATATACTCTTCAAAAAATAGGGGATATTCAGAAACAATACAAAACTCCGGAAATGCACTGCTGTTTTTATTAGAGGTAACCAGTGTATGTTAATAACAGGCCAATTCCCTACACATGAATATAAACATTTCATATGGGCGGCTTACCTGACGGCCCCATTACACTCGCAACTAGATACACCGTCAAAAGTGAAAATGAACGTTTTTGATTTGTGTCTTAATAATGAGTAATTGCTCCACCAATCCTCAGGCATTCAGCAATTCGTCGTGGCATGCTCCTAATCAACCGTCCAGTCACGATTTGGGGCAATCTGACCCACTCCTCTTGCAGTGCGACGGCTAATTCTTGCAGTGTTGTCCGTTGACGTCGACGAACACATCTCGGGATCAAATTAAACGTAACACACTAAAGCAAAGATACGCTAAACATTAAATCTTATGCAAGAACCGATAGGAAAGCAAACATGGATAGATAAACCAGCACGCGGCAGTTTTCATCAACCCTTCCTTCAAGTGTCAAATTTGACAATGAACCCACGTGTATGGCGCTATTGCGTGTCGCATGTGCCGCTTAGTGGTTCTGTTGGGGCGATAAGTTCTTCATCTATGAACATACTTTCAAAGCATGTCTAGTGTCCATGACTATTTATCATATTACAACCTGCATAGGTATTTGCATTTTAATATGCCCTATTTTTTTTAAGAGTATATCGTGCCTGAGATTTGTTAGAAATCGCCTCGAGCATGTTCCACACATCTCAACATTCATCAGCTTTTTGTTTAATCTATAAAAGCCTACATTCCTACAAAATGTTTTGTTTAGTCAAGTGAAACAAGAAAATGTATAGGCTAAATGGAAACAT